GGTCGTCGCAAAGAGAAGGGGGTTTTCGGGTGTTGGGAAAACGTTTGGAAGGTCATTGAGTTATGGGGAAAGGGCAGGGGCCCCAAGGACACTTCCCTCAAACCCAGTATCAAGGGCCGTTTTCCCGATGCTGGTCTTTGGGGTGACATATTGATACCTTTAGTAAGAAATTTGAAAAAGCAAGCGCATGGCCTCTTATACCGTAATATCAAGTTTGGAGTGGGATGTCAGGGGCTACTGTGTCAAAAGCTTTTTTTTAGTAAAAAAAAATTTCTGGGGTTTATTCCTTATTTTCCAAGCTGTTAAAGCAACTAGCATTTTATGATTGAAATCTTGTGCTTTTATTTTTTCCTGAACCCAAAATTTGGCGGGGGTTGAGTATTTTTTTGAGCCGAAAAGAATACAGTCCCTGTGCACGATTTTTTCCAAAGATTTTGGATACAATGGAAATTTAGTTTTTGGCCATAGTTGTTTAAGTCTTAGGGTCACCCCCTTTTATGAATTGGGTGTAACCCTTGCCATTTTGAGTAGTTGGGGAAAGGGTCTAGTCCTAGTGACTTTTTAAAGAGTAATGAAATAGCATGCGAAAGACAGGGGCCGCTCGCTTTACAGTATTGGGGGGACTGAGACAGATCCCCCCATTTTTTTAAGTGACTTTAAACTCGGTGACTTCCCGGGGGGCTCTTTTGGTGCAAAAAAAGGGAATTGGGAAAAATTCCATCTGGTACCCCCGGCAGGGCTTTTGGTTGGGGATTTTACGGGCGAGATAGACCTATGGTTGAGAAAAGTCGTTTATCTTTTTTATGGTCGTGGGATGTAGTGGTGTTTCATTTTTTAGTTGGGACAATATTCTTGGTTTTCTCAGTTGGGGTCCCAGAATCTGAGAGAGTTTTTTCCCCCCTTTTTTTATTCTCCCTATGCCCCGTGAATCTACGGAGAGTAAGTTTTTTTGGTTTCCTTATTACTTTGGTGAGAGCTGATGAATAGTGTTTAAGAAATCTTTGTGTTTTAAAACCCTTTTGTCTATATGCTTTTCATATTGGTTTTTCTTGCGGGGATTTCAGAAGGTGCGGGTTACCATGGCAACCAAGCCATTTTTTTTTGTGATTTTTTTTGTTTTTAGGACAATGTTTGGTATAGTCTAAGAAATTTGTTAAGAAAAATGTCTGCCATCATCAATACCATTGGCCTTGGAAAAAATTCTGTAGGCCAGTAAACAGTCCAGTCACTGTAAACTTCCTTATTGGGGGCCTCGCAGGGAGTCTAAAGAAATTTTGGGGGGGGGGGTTGTATTCAATGGTTTTTTACTAAGTTTTGTCGGGAGGAAGGTGGGTAGGGGGTCTGTATGCTATTGTGTTTTATTCCGTTTTTGGGGGGGGGGGAAAAGTAAGGCCCCTATGTTCATTATGGTTGCACTTGTCTCTGAGCCTGGTTTTATTTTTATTGTTGGGGTAGAGATTGTTTTTCATATTTGTTGATGAAATCAGTTACAGGCTGATCATCTGTAACCCAAAGGGGTTGATGTTGAAGTTTCCCCGCTAAGAGAAGGGGGCTTATTCATTTGTCTTGGTTTTTATGATTTTAAAATTTCTCCTAAAATTTGGGATGTTTTGTGAGGTACCCCGGTAAATGGCCCCGATTGTTTAGGCCCTCTTAAGGTTTTTTACAAAAAATTTAGCAAAAATGTTTTCCCCTTTCTCACTAAAGCAAGTGGTGCTAATACAGATAATTGGTTAAGTAATAATTTCAAACACCCCCAACTGGGGTTTGGGCTGCTTTGAATTGGGCGTGTATCATGGAAAGGGTGAAAATCTATTGTGTCCCCCCTTTTAAACCAGGGCTCAAAGAAAAAGCGGAAAGGTGTCTTTTTGTGATTCAAGGAGTGCTAGGGGGTCATCATAGTGTTTGCTTTAAGGGCCTGATGTTTTAGTTAAGTACTATAACTTTTTGCATTGTTTAGGATTTGGGGTGGGTTTTTGATGCTGTGTATAAAGGCTTACTTTCCAAGGTTTTGATTGGGGTTTCAATTTTTGGAGGGTTTTAATCAGGGGCAACGGATCAATCACCTGGTTAAATTTTATTTTTTATTCCGAGTTGTGTGTTGATTCTAGTATGATACTGATGGTGGAAGTTTGGGCAGTTATACTAGATAATTTTGGGCATGTAGAGTATAGTCACACACACATAAAAAGTTGATGTTTCTAGTGTTTGCTGGAAAAACTAAAATACAACAGGTTAAACTAGTAATTAAAAATACAAAATTTAAAAAAAAACAAAACTCCACTTGTAATTGCCTAAGGTCTAATAATGACTTTTGTGGATCATGTTTGAGCAGAAGAAATTATACAATGGTTTAAATTTTTTAATAAAAAATACAAAATTTAAAAAAAGCACTAGTCTTTTTCCAGTAATTGCACATGGTCTAATATGTGAATTTGGTATTTACATTATTGAAGAATGAGCATGGTACAACTGAATTAATCTAATATAAAAATACAAATAAAAAAGCACCCTCTCTCACTAGAATTTTCACTATGGGCTAATATAGTGAATTTGGGATTGACTTGTATTGACTAGAAAAGCAATAGTACAAATAGGTTTATCTAATAAATAAAAAAACAAAATTTCAAATAGCACCAGTCCCTCATATTAATTTCACTATGGTCTAATATAGTGAATTTTGGTTTTTGCCTATCTCTCACTATTAATTGCACTATGGCAATAATGAATTTGGTATTGACTAGTATTGACAAATGAGCTAAGAAAACGTATTAATCAATAATTAATAAAGGCACAAGACCCAATTGTAATTGCACTAATCTTTTTAAGTTGTTTACAAAATTAAGAAATTAATTTTAAATTTACAGATAAAAAACACAAATTTAAGTAGCAAAAGAAAAAATAAAAAAAATGATAAAAAAAAAATGGGAAGACTTTTTATAATAGCAGTAAGATGGTAGAAGGATAATATAAAGTTGTAGTTGAAAATACAGTTAAAAAAGTAGGGAATAAAAATGGGCAATAAAAGAAAAATTTTTTAAAATTTATCCATATGTTTAAAGAAAAGGGGCTAATGGGGTTTTAAAATTTGGGGAATTAAATTTTTTAAAAGTGAGGAAATTATTAAGACAAGTTTTGGGTTTTTTTAATTTAAAAAAAGTTATTTGTAAAAAAGGAGATAAATTTTAATATAAAAACCCCTAAACAAGGGGGAGAAAGGTCTTGAAATCCAAAGTGACAACAAAATCTTTATAAATTTTTTGGGGCACTTTTCCCCAAAAACATAAATCAAGGGGTTTTCTGCCTTTAAATCTTTCTGTTTCCCCCCCTCACAGGGTTTTAACAGTTTGTAAGATAATAACTCTTCCCATTTTTAAATAAAATTTTTGGGGTTTTTAAAACTATGTAAAACTTTCCGGGAAATTTTCTTATTTTTAAAAAGGTTTGGGGTAAAAATCTCCTAAAGTTTATCCAAGTCCTGCTAGTAATGCAATCACCTCTCTCCTCCAAACTTGGGTCCATTTTCATTTGGGCATCCGTAATTCTTCCCCCGAATACCACTCCTCTCCTCCAGCCCATGGACCAGCAGGTCATTGCAAACTTTAAAAAACTCTACACAAAAGCAATGTTTCACAGGTGCCTGACTGTGACCACAGATACTCACTTGACCCTAAGGGAATTTTGGAGAGAACACTTCAGCATCCTCCATTGCATAACCCTTATAGGTATGGCTTGGGAGGGAGTGACTACCAGGACTTTGAACTCTGCCTGGAGAAAATTGTGGCCAGATTGTGTCGACAAGAGGGATTTTGAAGGGTTTGGGACTGACCCTGATGAGCCTATGCCTGTTGTAAAATCAATTGTGGCACTGGGGAGTTCCATGGGGTTGGATGTGAGTTTGGAGGATGTGGAAGAATTGGTGGAAGACCACAACGAAGAGCTCACCACTGAGGAGCTGCAAGAGCTTCAGCAGGAACAGCAACAGATTGCAGCTCAGAATCTTGCTGCAGAGAAGGAGGAAGAGAGATGGAAGAAGGTGCCTTCTTCAGAAATTAAAGAGATTTTTATTATGTGGGGTAAGATGGAAAGCTTTATGGAGAAACATCACCCTAACAAGGTTGTTGCAAGCCATGTTGGCAACATGTACAGTGACAAAGTCTTGGGCCATTTTAGGGAAGTGTTAAAGAGACGCCAGAAGCAGAGTTCTCTGGACAGTTATTTTGCGAGACAGGACTCCAGTGACTCTCAAAGTGGTCCTAGTGGCATTAAGAAACAGAGAAGAGAAGCAACCCCAGAAAAGCAAATGGTACCTGAGGTGTTGATAGAAGGGGATTCCCCTTCCAAACTATAAACAATCCAATCTCTCTCCTCCTCCAGTCTCCCATACACTAAGAAGAATCTCCAATAAAGGTAAGTGTTATAATGTTAATGTTTCATTCATCATTTCCCATTGTATTGTTTATGTACTACATGTATACTTCATGTAAAAAATTTTTTTGTTTTAATACTTCTGGGTGTCAGGAATGGATTAATTGTATTTACATTATTTTTTATGGGGAAAATTGATTCGCAAATCGTAAATTTCGTTTATAGTAGCTCCTCCAGGAATGAATTAATTACGAAAAACGAGGGACCACTGTATATATAAAACATGAATTAACTTTAAAACGCTTGAAATTTTGGGAAGTTTCCAAACATAATAGAGACGCGGTGCTCATGGAGCTCACGGAGAATGTAAACAAACCGGGTGGGGAGCGGTGACCATATTAGAAACTCAGTTGGGGGGAGCTGTAGAGTGAGTTTTGGTCATAATTTGAAATGTCTGTATTAGCGGAACGCCGTAAAGTGAAATGCTATAAAGCGGGACCCTACCGTATATGTTTACACAGGTATCCCACATCTATGGTAGGGTACTGGAACCTTCTAGTCTCTGGCATAAAACCCATGAACAATACAACTTCAGTCATATATAGTAGGATTTAAGCAGAAACAATACTAACCTGGCCTTGGATGGAGGGCTGGCGTGACCTTGGCGATGACCCCCGGGAACGGATGGAATTCTGAGGACTAAGAGTTCGCGGTGACCCAATCGAGTTCTGCTGGGTGAGGATAGACCTGCGCGGGGCCAGCTGCACATGGCTGCTGGTGGACCCGTTGCAGTGGCTGTGGTCAGTCCCTAAGAACCTGGAGGGTGGAGTGGCAATTATCTCTTCATAAAAGAAGCGATATTTATCTTCACTGAAACTGATAGGATCTGATAAACTGAAGGTGGATTTATCTGCTGACTCCCATCTTTTACATATTAGGTAGCTATAATTACAAAATATTTAAGGACTGTCATTTTCAAAATGGGGTTATCCAAGAATTCTTTCCCTCAAGCAGCCTCTATTTACACAGATGAACTCAAGAAAAAAAAAAGAGAAAAAATATCATGCTGTGTATACATTAACATGCAGAGTTTATTGGAAGAACTATGACAGAGTATTTATGTTTATGTCATTTTAATTCATACATATTAACAAAAAATTCTGAAGAACTGCATAAATCAGGAACAAAAATTAAAGCACTGCTAATTACTGCCATTTTGTGATGGGTGTAGAACAGAGAAAATGCATCAGCTGCTGCTACATAACAAGATCAAGCAATCTTGGAATATGATTGTGATGATAATGTGTATATCTGATCATGCCATCATATTACAACCATGAAAGAAAGTGATCCTACACAAATGGGAAACCATAAATGGCATGTTAAAAAAAGGTGCTGCTTTATCTGCATGCCATCTTGTATTAGACAGAAAGTTTAAGCATACAGAGTGAAACATGTATTATATGGTGACATCAGGACCAAGACCCTGCTTGCTAAAGCTAACTATTTTGTTACCACATACAGTAATCCCCCCCCCCCCATATCTGCAGGGGATATGTTCCAAGACCTACCGTGGATACCCAAAACCGCATAGTAGCAAATTCTACATATACAGTATGTCATTTTTCCTTTACATACATACCTATGATAAAGTTTAATTTATAAATTATGCACAATATGTGGAGAATTAGCACTTTTTCACTGATGGGATGCATTTCATGACTTCTCTTAGGCTTTGAAGAATCCCCCACCATCACTACTTTTGTGTTCTTGTGCCATTATTAAGCAAAATTAATACTTATTTTTTGGGCCATGGCAGACCGTGGATAACTGAAACTGCAGAAACTGAATCCATGGATACGAGGTTCTACTCTACCTTTATATGTGTATTCCTTCTTAAAGTTTATTTACTTTAAAATGTAAAGTGGTCAGTCTAACATATTTTGCTATTTTATATATCAGTCTCGTGAATGTGATAATGTCTCGCTGTGGAATGAATTTATTTTTGAACTCGAGAAAATGAACACAATTTCATAATTCTTGTTTCATAAGCCATACTCTTTCTTAGTCATATAGTTTAATAATTATTACTTTTCCTTTAATTATAGACATAATTATCACTTCTTTTTAATCAACAGTCATTCACTTACATATACTGCTTGATTACTATATAACTAGCCAATGAATTAATTGTCAAATTATTTACTCAAGGTGATTTAAAGCAACTAACCATATGATGCTTAGTATTTTTTTTTTTTTTTTTAACAAGTCGGCCGTCTCCCACCAAGGCAGCAAATGTAAAACTGCCAAAAATATTTATAAAAATTTTAAATATAGTTTTAAGATATAAATCTTTCATGTAAAATTATTAATACAATATTAAACTTTTTTCAAGAAATGTTAAAATGCTTAGCAAAGTATTACCTGAAACATGACTCCACCTAGCAAGAACCCATGGCCACCACCCATGCCATACAGCAGCCATTATTTTTTGTTTAATTTATTTTTAACTTGTAAGTTACCCTTAAGTCATTCCTAATTTGCCCAAAATGCATTGCATAATTAGGGACATAAGTCATCATTGATTCATGGATATTAAAGCTTTATTTATTTATAAATGGGATTTGCTTAACTCACACTAATGGTTACTGGAACACCAGTTAATAGATGTTTCACTATGTGACAACCACTAAAGGCCAATCATGTGAAAATTTGAACAAAATTAGATCAATATTTGTAATGTTAACAGGCTGATAGCCAGAGGCACAAGACTCACACAGGTTGCTGGCTGCTGATATTGCTATTAGTGAAAAATAAGACTTGAAGGAGGGAGGGAGGAAGGGAGGGAGAGAGGGAAGGGAAGGGAAGGGAAGGGAAGGGAAGGGAAGGGAGGGAGGGGAGGGAGGGGAGGGAGGGGAGGGGGTGGGGGGGAGGGGAGGGGAGGGGAGGGAGGGAGAAAAGAGAGAAAGAAAGAAAAAGAAAGAGAAAGAGAGAGAAAGAAAAAGAAAAAGAAAGAGAAAGGTTTTGTAGAATAAACTATTTATTGGAGTTATTATGAAAGAGGTTGAGAGCTACAGGCATGAAATAAGTAGACTGGTGCGAGATAAAGTATGTAGCACTGAATGGTGAATGATAAAGTTGTAATGGTAAGAAAAGAGATTCACACTTAAGTAATTGTTGAGAAAATTATTAGTGAAGAGTAATGTTTTAGAAAGATGAGTATTGATGCTGTCATATAATGAGTGAGTGTGATGAGCATTGATACTCACGTAGACTGATGATTGTTGAGGTTGTTATTAGTGAATGTAATATTATTGTTGAGTGCTGTTTCCTCCTCACCATCAGCATCAGAGCCTGAATCATGCCTCATAAGATTCTCCCGATCCGCTTGTGATCGACGAAATGAACCAGTGCTGCTGCATCCTCGCCGCCGCCGCTGTGATCCACTACGTCGCCATAATAATGGAGATCCACATCCACTACTGCGACGCTCTCGATTGCTGCAACCATATGTGCTATTTTGGTCTATGACTGAGTATAGTATACAAAACATCAATTATAATAGAGTACCAAAGTTTTAGCAAATTATCAGTTTCATAAAAAATTATGTATTACCCTGAATTATACCAAGTAAAAACAAACAGATTACCTGTAGAACCTAAATAAAGGATTACCAAAATTATATAATGTAAAAAGGTTTATCTCTCAGTTTAGATGCAATGAGAGTACATATTATTCTCAATTTCAAAAATGGTGTATGCATAAGCATTCTGTGTGTGCATGTGCAAGTGCATGTGTGTGTGCTCGTGTGCATGTTAAGTTTTACTGTATATTTGTGTTTTGGGTAAGAAGGGGAAATTTGGTTAAGGGAGCCATGTGGCAGATGTTGCAGATGTATGAAACAGGAGGCAGGCTGCTAAAAGAAGTTATGAGTTTTTAATGCAGAGAGTGAGGGGTCAGGTAAGAGTATGTTGGAGAGAGGTGGGGGGGGGGAGCTATTTTCCAAAGAAAGTAGGACTTTGCGATGCATTATGTCACTATGGTTGTTTAACATATTTACAGATGGGATTGTAAAAGAAGTGAATATCTGGACTTGAGTCCTGGAAATGGGAAGTACAATGCCTACACTTTAAAGGAGAGGTTTGGGATATTGGTAGTTTGGAGGGACTTCTAAACTGTTGTATCTGAGCATCTCTGCAGATACAGTGATTATGTATGAGTGATGGTGAAAGTGCTGGGTCACCCTGCCTCAGTGGGAAACAGCCGATGTGTTAAAAAAAAATCAAGATGTTAGGAAGGGGTGTGGGATTGAAAGATATATCTGGTACATAGTGGGAATTATCCCAGTTGCTCTTTGCTGATGACACAGTTCTTTAACCCTTTGACTGTTTCGGTTGTATATATACGTCTTATGAGCCACCGTTTTTGACGTATATAAACTCATAAATTCTAGCAGCTTCAAATAAAGCAGGAGAAAGCTGGTAGACCCACATGTGACAGAATGGGTCCGCATGGTCAGTGTGCACCATATGAAAAAATCCTGCAGCACGCTGTGCACAATGAGAAAAAAAAAACTCCGACCATTTTTTTAATTAACCTGTAAATGGTCCAAACGTATATATACATCTTTACCGCTAGTGCCCCAAACGTAAATACATGTTTTATGTGTACCTCTGTATGTATGCTAAAATTTCTAAATTTCTAAATAAATAAATAAATACATTTAACATTGCCATGATAAGCCCGAGTCACCTAGACATGAGAGAATGGGTGTGAGCACTCACTGTGCACCATATTAAAATAATTGGGGATGCCTGGGTACCACATGCTCTTTTTTCCTATTAAAGAACAACAATGTTTTTCTTTCTCAAAAAAGTTGGGGCATTACGGTAGTGAATGTATATATATATTTGGACTGTTTATGGGTTAAAATGCCAACTTTGTGGACTATTTTCGTATAGTATTTATGGTTGTATTCTCGTTTTCTTGGTCTCATTTGATAGTATGGAAAACATATTATAGAAATAGAGGTGATTTTGATTGGTTTTTCTATGAAAAGAACATTGACATGGAGCTCAAAGTAGGGGAAATGTTTGATTTTTGCCGATGTTCAAAAGTAAACAAATGATGTCATTTTTCAATAAATGTCCAAGTAGCCATTCTAATATGCAATCATGAATGGGTTGACATTATTTATACAATTATTACAATATTGCAGTAAATCTTCTATTTTTTGTTTGAATAAAAATTCAAAATAGAAAGCAAGAGTAATATCAGAGGGGCCTGGAGATGTGACTGATGAACAAAGAAAACATTATTTTAGAGCCAGGAATGTCTGCATTGTTCATTCTGGACCCTATTTTGAAATTGGCATATTTTTTATTTTTCGTGAAATTGGCCAAATTGCAAATTTCTGACCACGTTATTGGGTAATTGAAATTAGTAAATGGGTAGTTTCTTGTACTCAATCGATAGATAAAATGGAGTTCTAAAGAAATAGCTATAAGCTTGGTCAACTTGAACAATGGAATTTGCCGAAAATAGGGCTCAAAGTGGACGAAATCGCAGATTCGTAAATAAGGCCGAGGTCGCTAACTTCGCCAGAGCGTAATTCCGTCAGTTTTCCGTCAAATTTCGTTCTTTTGGTGTCATTACAATCAGGAAAAGATTCTCTATAATTTCATAAAAAATTTGGGGGGGAGGGGGATTTTGTGACACCAGGAGACACCTCAGGATTTGGGGTTGCGACAGTCAAGGGGTTAAGGAATTTCTGAAGACAAGTTACAAATGTTGGTTGACAAATTTAGGTGGGGATGTAAGAGGAGATTAAAAGTGAATACAGAAAAGAGCAAGCTGGCAAGAATAATAAAATGTCTAAGCAATTACAGAGTGAATTTCAGACTGGAGGGAATATGGAGGAAGTTTCTGTATTCAGATATTGGGGAGAAGACATGTCAGGAGGTGGGTCTGTGAAAGAAGTATCTGAAAGATAGTTTATCTATGGAAGCAAAAAAGGGAATGTACTAGAGCATACTGGTACCAATTATTTTATATGAGTGTGAGGCATGAGGTTTGAATGTTGCGGTAAGGAGGAAGGTAGAGGCAGTGACGATGGCATGTTTGAGAGCAATGTGTGGTGTGGATATCATGCAGAGAATTCAGTGTAAAAATTAAAAGGCAATGTGGGATCATCAAGGTTATAATTCAGAGTTGAGGAGAGGTTGTTGAGAGGGATAGGATGATGATGAAGGTATATATGGTGTGAAAGTTGGGAGGGGTAGGGGTAACCCTAGGAATGGTTGGAGGGAGGCATAAAAGATATTAGGGACTTGAGCTTCCAACAGGCATGTAAAAGCATGTTAGACTGGAATGAATGGAGACGAGTGGTTTTTTAAAGGACATGCTGATAGGAGTGAGAGCATGGTAACTTTTATGAAAGGATTCAAGGAAACTAGTAAGGTGGACTCGAGTCCTGGAGGTGGGAGAGGCAGTGCCTGGAATCTGAAGGAGGGGTGTGGGATGTTGCAATCAGAGGGTAATTTGTAATGTCAGCACACTTCTGGAAAGACAGTGATAGAATGAATGATGGTGCATTTTTTTTTTTGTGGGTATCACCAAATACAATTTTAATTTTTTTACAAATAAATGGAGCCATAAAGCAAAGCTGTATTAGCATGCAATGCCAAAACTGAACTGTCCAATGAATCCTCAAAATACTTTTTTTTACAGTTTTACTCAAGACCAAGTGCCATCATAAATGCAGCAAAATTGTAAGTTAGTGAGCATACATTATGCTGTTGGAGTATACTTGGCAATCAATATCATATTTATTTGAGAGAAGGGACAAGTGTAAATGTTTAGGTCATTTTAATAGGAAATGTTTCAGTCATAGTTCATTCCAATGATCAACGGAGTGAACTAAGTTCAAAATCAAAACATTTCTTATTAAAATTGTTAAAGTAATTACACGTGTTGTTTCCTCAAACTTGTCAGTATCTCATACCAGCTTATTAACATTATACTTAGCAGTAAACAAATGAAAACACTCATCACATACTCTGTATTGATCATACATTCAGTGGAAAGAGTACACTTGACAATAAGCATAAATGTGCTATGAACTGAAGATATGTTTGAGAGCAGCTGGAAATTTGCTGCAATGTGCCAAGTGAGATCATAAAACAGGTGGTTAAATACAATATATAGGTGCATCCTATACAATTATGTAGCTTTCCTTAATTTTGGGGCATACCATAAGTCATGAGGACACCAGAAATGCTGAGTATACCCAAGACGGTGACAAAGTAGAGGAGTTATGCTGTGTCCACTGCTACTACTGCTACTCAGGCTAAGGCTGAAGCATCTGAGAAGACGGACCTCATACATTACAATGGCAGCACATGCTTACTAGGCATCACTGCTGATTTATTTTAACTACTAAGAGTGCTCCATTTAGGTTGACAGAATAGTCTCATAATCTTCTTAACCCTTTGTATAGGTGATTTGACAATATCTTACATGTAACTCTCACATTGTATATTATGCAAAGGAATACAGTAGGGTCCCACTTATATGGTGGGTTAGGTTCCAGGCTATGGGCAGAAAGCAGACATCACCGGAAAGCAGAATGCCATTTTTCCATTTATAAATGCATATAAATGCCAGACAACAAGTTTACACTAAATTATATTAAGTTAGTAATAGAACTAGGCATTAAAAAACACAAAAAGTAAAATACATACACAGTACATTCATTACTTATCTTAAAGTATTTGTAATCTTAATGTAGGGCGAGAGGTGAGTAGTACTTATTTGTAGGAAGTCAGGTGTAGATAGCCCTGGCTCCCTGTCTCATACTTAATATACGATATTTAAAACAGCCCAGAGAGTTAAAATACACATACAGTACACTCATTATTTACCTTAAAATATGTGTAGTCTTAATGTAGGAAGAGAGTTGAGTAGTATTTATTTGTAGGAAGTTAGTGTAGGTAGCCAATAGGTGTAGCCTGCCTGGGCTACACCTAACGGCTACCTACACTGTGGCCCAGAGCCATATTATCATCTACATACCTTGTTCATTGAATTTAATCGTTTCTAACAACTACCTTTAGATGCCATCATAAACGAAGGGAGAAGTAATGAATAATTCATGCCGAAAATTGTAAACAAAAGCAGAGTGGGGGAGTGGCTGGGCCAAACGCAGATTCATACACGTTTTCTCTGGTGCCTGACCAGAGAAAACATAATGTTGTCCCTCCGCCAGGCTACCACACAGGTCCATAAGTATTATTATCAGAGCACATATAAAATATGCAATAAATGCCAGACAACAAGTTTACACTAACTTATATTAAGTTAGCAATAGAAATAGGCATTAAAAACACAATAAAAGGTAAGATACACAAAGAGCACACTTATTACTTATCTTAAAATATTAATGTGTGAGACATGAACGGCAGGGTGTTTATTGAATAAAATCAGAATGGCACACCATCAT